CATGTCCGCATCTGTGTTATTTTTTTCTGTTTTACTTTGAAAGTCCGCGTCTCATGTCAATGTATCTGGTTTTGCTTCCCTTGTCTCATTAGGTCTGATTTGTCCCAGTCGTGTTTCCCTCCTCTTTCCCATTCCCTGATTGCTCCCTTTGTGTATTTAAGCCCTGTGTTTTCCTTTGTCGGTGTTGTGATCTCCCTCATCCCACGCTGTGGGTTCTGTCCATCTGCCTGCCAGTTTAAGTTTCTGTATTCCCAGTTCAGCCAGTTTTCTGTTTTTTCTTTGCCATCCACCATTAAAGTTGCATTTGAGTTCACCTTTTTGCTCTGTGTGTCTGCACTTTGGGTCCTCCACGCCTGCCTGCACGCAGCCACACATGACAATAGGAGACATTAAGCTGGACATTCAATTCAATTTTATTTATATAGCGCCAAATCACAACAAAAGTCGCCTCAAGGCGCTTCATAGATACAGAGAAAAACCCAACAATCATATGACCCCCTATGAGCAAGCACTTTAGTGACAGTGGGAAGGAAAAACTCCCTTTTAACAGGAAGAAACCTCCGGCAGAACCAGGCTCAGGGAGGGGCGGGGCCATCTGCTGCGACTGGTTGGGCTGAGAGAAGGAAGACAGGATAAAGACATGCTGTGGAAGAGAGACAGAGGTTAATAACAGATATGATTCAATGCAGAGAGGTCTGTTAACACATAGTGAGTGAGAAAGTTGACTGGAAAGGAAAAACTCAATGCATCATGGGAATCCCCGGCAGCCTACGTCTATTGCAGCATAACTAAGGGAGGATTCAGGGTCACCTGGTCCAGCCCTAACTATATGCTTTAGCAAAAAGGAAAGTTTGAAGCCTAATCTTAAAAGTAGAGATAGTGTCTGTCTCCTGAATCCAAACTGGAAGCTGGTTCCACAGAAGAGGGGCCTGAAAACTGAAGGCTCTGCCTCCCATTCTACTTTTAAATACTCTAGGAACAACAAGTAGGCCTGCAGTGCGAGAGCGAAGTGCTCTAATAGGGTGATATGGTACTACAAGGTCATCAAGATAAGATGCCATAAATATGACATACATCACGTCATGAGTGTATACCCTGGTAGGAAGTGAACCACCTTTGTGCCACTGTATTTAGTAAGGCTTGAAACTAATGACTGCATTTAAGAATTTTAGTACAGGTGGACTTCTTTTGGCACGAGTACCTTGGTGGTCAGTAGAGCAAATGCAGATTTAAGGTTTTATTCTCTAGACCCAACCTATGACCCATCTTTGAAATAAAGCACATGGCTTCCCTACTTACCTCTCTTTTGTGAAAACAAAAGGTAGAAAGGACATACCTCCTCCACGATGGTCCTGGACTAGGTGTGGATTCATGTTGGACAGCACACTCTTTCATTTGGGATCATTAAACATGCAAAGGTCCATGGTCACGAATTGTACTGGAAGGTTCTGGGATCCTACTGACAGGCTCATTTGTTTAGAACAGAACCTGGAAGACTCAGTTGTAAATGCTTTGGTGAGCAAATGGAATAACTCTCTCGCTTCGCCCACTTCCATGGACGTTTGGTACACTTATTCATACTGCTTATTGCAGTCAGTGTTTGGGGTGTTTAGCCAAAGCAAAGGGACCTCGAGTCCTGTCTGTGATGGACAGACAACTGACTCAATGAAATTGAATCAGGGTTCTGGGTGTACACATGCTGCTCTACCAGGATGGACCCAGCAAACCTGGTATAATTATAGCCTCACCCATGCACGTGACGCAAGTGGTTAGAATTTAAATGAAGAAAGGCCAACCAGTAACCAAGCGCTGCAACAACTGCGATACCTCAAACCTGGCTTCCATAAAATCTAATTTTTCCAGTTGATAATTTGCATAATCGTCAATCAAAATAATTATTTTTTTTAAAATGGTGCAATTTGGGTTTTCTTTTGTGAAGTCAGGAAAGTATAGTATAAAACACATTCGTAACAATGTAGATATCTGGAAATTAAGTAATTAAGAACAAACACATTACATATTACATGCAGCTCATACTGTGGGCATGAGCCTGCTTGTTCTGTCCAGACAGGTGCTGAGGTTAATGTGTGAAAGAAGCTTTAAATATAGCCTGCCATAAAGGTGCTATTTTTAGCTGCTTGCTCCATCATTGTATTTGGTTGCAAAGCATCAGAAGTTACTTTTCCAATCATGATTTCTTGAAACTGTTTTATTATGAATGAAATGCAGATAAGCGTCGACACTGGAATTAAAATGACCCATTTCCCATTCCTAGACCAAGTGACACAATTTGCCTCACCAATACTGAGAGTGTAGCATTACACGCAGCTGCAGCTTGACACTGTGCTGTTCTGACATGGGTCAGTGCAGCCAGCACAGATTCCTTTCAAAGGCTCACGCTGTTTCAAAAGTGTGTGCGAGCCTGCAGATTAATGCTCACTTGTTTGGACGTATTGAAAGAACAAAACACCAAAATTCCAGAGAAATGTAAGCAGCCATAACCGGTGAGCCCAAATCATAAAACATCTTGAAATTCTCATAACTATAATTTTGGACTAGAAACATACTTCCCTTCGGTTAGCATGTGCCCAAACACAATAGGTGACTATTTCTGTAATATGATGGTGATTCCAACTTGTTGTGACGCTGGAGGAACTCCATGAGCACCGTTTGTAGAAGGCAGCTTATGTGATGTAACCGCCCTGTTGCATAACTGCTGTAGACCAGTATTATCCAGTAGCTGTGTGTAGAAGCAGCTAGGGTCTGCTCATACTGCTTCCTCCTGAAAATTAAATGCTAAAACCTGTTCTAAGTTTTACTAACACACCCCCACACACACATATATATATTATATATGCCAAAAATATATTTTTTTTACCTGAGGGAAAAAACAAACAACAAAACAACCCCAGCCACTTACAAAGTACCTAAATATTCTGCACAGACAAAAGTAGCTGCTCTAGTTAACAGGGACAGATTGGTATGTGGAGAGATAGAAGAAACCTGCACTAATTTGGTAACATCTGACTTGTTGAAGGACAGGCAGGGGACAGCTGAGAAACATGAGAAGTGGTTTCAATTCAGGGCAAGGGCACGGTGACCCTCCTCTACAATACAACAGCAGGCGAATTAGAGTGCAAAAATGAGAGGGGACCTAGGAAAGCACGCATGCAAGCCTAAGGAGTCTGGGATGGTTGAATTGGATAGCTGGATATGTCCTTTCTGTGCTGTGGTTCACAGACATGGTGACATTGAAAGAGCAGCTGTGAACTGTCAGTTGCCAGTCAAAGATGGGTGGGCCATCCCACAGAAAGAGCTGCATTCTGGGATGCTCCTCTCTCTTGGAAAGATGCCGGTGTTATAGCTATGATGGATTCTCTAAGTCACAGGTGGCATCGATTTTCTTCCTCAACATTCCATCGCTCAGTATTCCCATCAAAGATTCAGCATCTGATAATGATCATATCAGTTTTGAGTCAAGGGTTTCAGATGTCTGTGGTGTGGGGCAGCACTGGTACCAACAACATCTCAAAACATACGTGAGAATCTTTCTCCCTTCGGTCTTCAGAGAAATCATGAAGATTGGGCTGTCACAGAAAATATTAACACACTCCCTTAAATACATGCACAGCATATTTGAACTACCCTCATTTTTTGGACTCTTGGGTCTTTAAGTTTCTAGACAGTGACACAGTTGTTGTAGGTTTTCCTCTGTACACCATTTTACCTGAAATATGACTGAAGTGCAAATTTTCATCATCATTTCATGGCCAGGTGAGACCTGTACCCTTGTTATTTCATGAAATAATAAGCCGATAAAGAATATAGAGTTAATTCCAAGTGTTAAGTTTGCATTTGCATTGTTTTGCTGAAGAGCAAAACAAAAACAAGATCATAAAGATAGCAAAAAAGTTTAGAAGTGACCAAATCAACAATCTGATGACTTAAGAAAATAGTCATTAGGAAGAGATAGGCGCATCACTGTCAGACTCTGCAAACCACTGGCTCCAAGACAAGAAGAGAAAATTAGACTTGTGGAAAACATCTATAATAGGATACAAAGACCTGGAAAATGTATTGACATGAATATTTGAAATTATTTGTCTACCGAAATATCTGTACATAAGGGTAAAAGCTGGAAATCAATATTAGATGGTTGTGATCTTTGCAGCCCAACACGACACTGCAATAAAAGCAGGTGTTACTCTGTCATGGACATCAATGCATGGGCTCAGGAACAGTTCCATACATTGGAACACAGTTCATCATGCCATCCACAAATCAGGGAAAAGTTTTGTATTTTTTTCTACATGATGAAGAAATACTGTGTTGCACATAAACTGCACGAAATAAAAGTGTAGAATTACAGAAAATGTTCTGTTGGCTCATTGTGCACACAGTCCTATACTGCGAACCCACCGTAGAAATCATACATTTCTACAGTAGTTATTGAAAAGGGAAAAAATGGGAACATTCTGTAATTTAATTTTTTAAAATCTATTACTTAATTACTTTGGTTAGTATGAATGGCCATGGAGGAGGATCTTCATCGGCAGGAAAAGATACAGGAGTTGTTAAAATACAGTGAAAAGTTTATCAATTGTCTTCTCCTTCACATTTTCCAAAGCCACACTGCGGGCCAGTTACAGTCTTTGGGGGGCCTGTTCTGGCCCCCAGGCATTATGTTTGACACCCCTGGTGTAGATCAAAGAAATGGTAAATGGCCTGCATTTGTATAGCGCTTTTCTAGTCCCTAAGGACCCCAAAGCGCTTTACACTACATTCAGTCATCCACCCATTCACACACACATTCACACACTGGTGATGGCAAGCTACATTGTAGCCACAGCCACCCTGGGGCGCACTGACAGAGGCGAGGCTGCCGGACACTGGCGCCACCGGGCCCTCTGACCACCACCAGTAGGCAAACATGGGGTTAGTATCTTGCCCAAGGATATTTGGCATGCAGCCAGGAGGCAGCCTGGGATCAAACCACCTACCTTCTGATTAGTAGCTGTCCTGCTCTGCCACCTGAGCTACAGCCACCCCAGAAGAAGTGCAATGATCGAAACCTGACCAATCACTCTGTTTGATTCAGTGTGTTTATGCCTTCCATAGCATAAACCAGCTTCGGTGGGTGGTGGGACATTGCTCACCATTAAGATGCGAGGAGCATTTCTAGATAACAGCCATTTGATAAGTGAAGAAAATACCAACTCTTTCTAACCTTCACACCTACAGTAAGGAACCCTGACCTCCAAAGTGTGTTTGACAAAAGTGAAACTCAGCTTATTTCAGTGGCCTTTCCCCATTACCACCCCAGCCTCACTCATGTGACCTCCTCCTCCCCTTTCACATGCTCCCACACTCCAACTACAGCTATGTATGGGCCAAGGGTTGGTGGGGGGGTGTGCGGAGGCTGACGGGGGTGAGGTTACAGCTGCAGCACCCGTCTTGAATGACTGAGCTGTAAATGTGTCTCTTTCATAAACTGTGCAGTATCAGTGCAGAGGCTCTGGCCAATGAGGCTGCAGTAGGCACTAAAATGGCCAAGCCAATGGCTAGTGTCTGTGTGGTATATAAAGAGGGGCCAGAGACCTCCAGAGTTGGGTGACCCCTATTTTGGCTGTGGTGAACAGGATCTGATCCCAAGGACTGTTACCTCTGTACTTGTCTGGCGTGCAGGTAAAGAAATGATTAGTTTTGTGGGGTTAAAGAAGAGCAGACGTGGAGATATGGATTGGGAGAACAAGCAAAGCATTTAAAATAGCACAAACAATTAGTTCTGGCTACTTTTTCTTTTAATGAAAAGCTGTGGACATGAAGTCCATGATGAAATCAAAGGATAATTGTGCAACAAATCTGGTACATTTGCATCCATATGATGCATTAAAAAAAGAGCTAATTTCATTGAATTGTTCTCCGTTAAGATTAAGCTTAAAGATCATGCTTTAACAGACAGGCTGTGGTTCCAGTGATAACTTGTGTCACTCCACTCTTTATTCTCGCTCTCTGCATATGATTTTCTTTTGGACAGTGATTTATGTGGACAGGTGCTTCGCAGTTTGATACATGTAGGAGAGACAGACTGAAGTCCCCCATGTGTCATCTGCGACTTTTGCTGTTTCAAAGTTACACTTTTGGAGCTTTTTGGCTGTAAACTAATCAGAAAATTGTCACATTGAAAGGGATTACTGATTTAAAGAACGGCTAATTTTGTAAATCAGTTTGGGACTGAGGTGCAGATCATATTTCATGTGATGTAACGAGTGCGTCATTGCATGCATCATGTACGTACTCATGTTGAACAGCTTATCAGGTAATGAGAGTAAGAAGAGTATATATTGTTGGATCGCAGTAGCTGGACAAGTGTGCTGCTAATCAGGCTTCTTTCAGCATTGTGACAATTATACTGTTGCAGTAATCCTGTACAGTGACACAAAGACCTTGTAGTGCTTTCAGTGAAAACACGCCTGTGCTGGAACTGACCAGTCAAGTTTTCATTTATGTGCATTTATGTGTCAATGTGCAATCAGGACAGTTGTGATTGTACGTATAAAGCTTTGCTTGTAGATACTGAGGACATAAAGGGTACACATTCAGATGTACTTGTGCTAAAAATACCCAGCCAACAGGCACTCCTCCCTGTACTCTGTTTCAAAGTGACATCTGAGCTGCTGGAAATTGAGTGACACTTGTTACCAAGATTCCTCTGCCGACACCGCTTAAAACTTGCAGCTGTCACACAGAATATCCCGTATCTCCAAATGCTGCAGAAATTTTGTGACTATTTCGATCACCTCCACAATCTCCAGATGAAACAGTTTATTATCGTTCCAAGATTTAGTCAAAGGCTTTTCCCTCATTTTGCAGTGTTAGAAAGCAATCATGCCTTTCGGAAACACCCACAACAACTTCAAGCTCAACTACAAAGTTGAGGAGGAGTTCCCAGATCTGTCCAAGCACAACAACCATATGGCCAAGGTTCTGACCAAGGAGATATATGGCAAGCTGAGGGACAAACAGACACCCAGTGGCTACACTCTGGATGATGTCATCCAGACTGGTGTAGACAACCCTGGTGAGATATGTTTCATATCAGATAAAGAAATCTGTTTCATTCCTGATTAACATTAGCCATAAAAACTAATTCTTTCATTTCTGTTCCCCCTCCGAACACACACGTCTTACTTACATTCTTCAGGTCACCCCTTCATCATGACTGTTGGCTGTGTTGCTGGTGATGAGGAGTCCTATGAGGTCTTCAAGGATCTGCTTGACCCTGTCATCTCTGACCGTCATGGTGGATACAAGCCCACTGACAAGCACAAGACTGACCTCAACCATGAGAACCTGAAGGTACCGCAGATTTCATGGAGAAGTACCTTAACAAAAGACTTACTGCACAAGTCTTCAGATGTTGAACTGATTTAATGGTTTAGCACATCTGTGCATTGCTCCAGGAACTCTGTTATTTATTTATCTTTTTTCACCTGGGACTCAAAGTTTATTTGTCTTTAGGGTGGTGACGACTTGGACCCCAACTACGTTCTGTCTAGCCGTGTTCGTACTGGTCGCAGCATCAAGGGATTCACCCTGCCCCCCCACAACAGCCGTGGAGAGCGCAGAATTATTGAGAGGCTGTCCATTGAGGGTAAGTATTCAAAGGAAAAGGACTGCGTCTTTGAATTTAAGCATCCAGTGTCAGTATGGACAATATTATCCCTGCTTTGCTCCTAACTGCAGCTCTGAACAGCCTGGATGGTGAGTTCAAGGGAAAGTACTACCCCCTGAACACCATGACTGATGCTGAGCAGGAGCAGCTGATCGCTGATCACTTCCTGTTTGACAAGCCCGTGTCTCCCCTGCTGACCTGCGCTGGTATGGCCCGTGACTGGCCTGATGGCAGAGGCATCTGGTGAGCACTGTCATTAAGTGTTAACAGGCTGAATGTGAAACATTTTCCTTAGAAATCTTTTGTCTGCATTATCTGTGTGTTCCCCTAAATGTGAAACTATATCTGCTCAGGCACAACGAAAACAAGACCTTCTTGGTCTGGGTGAATGAGGAGGATCACCTTCGTGTCATCTCCATGCAGAAGGGTGGCAACATGAGGGAGGTGTTCAGGCGTTTCTGCGTTGGCCTGCAGAAGGTATGCAGATATAACAGGCCTCGGAAAGCCGGGATGAAATGAAAACAATTGTTCAGGATGTTTCCACGACTCTTCTTCTTTCAAACCTGCCAGATTGAGGAGATCTTCAAGAAGCACGACCATGGCTTCATGTGGAATGAGCATCTCGGGTACATCCTGACCTGCCCCTCCAACCTGGGCACTGGCCTGCGTGGTGGCGTCCATGTCAAACTGTCCAAGCTGAGCACACATCCCAAGTTTGAGGAGATCCTCACCAGGCTGCGTCTGCAGAAGCGTGGCACAGGTAAACACTCATATGCTTGTGGACCAGCTTGAACAGCCCAGTGAAATCTCCACTGCGACTCTGACTTTTGCCCTTTCTCTTTAGGTGGTGTGGACACTGCCTCTGTGGGTGGTGTGTTTGACATCTCCAATGCCGACCGTCTGGGCTCCTCTGAAGTGGAGCAGGTCCAACTGGTGGTTGACGGTGTCAAGCTGATGGTTGAGATGGAGAAGAAGCTGGAGAAGGGAGAGAGCATTGACAGCATGATCCCAGCCCAGAAGTAGAGAGGGACAATCTTCCGTTTTTCTCGTGACCGTTCATGTGTAATCGAGCCAACTGATGGACACGCAGAGGAAACAGCCGCTCAACTAGAGACTCTTGACTCTGAAAACTTCTTTCTCTTCTTTCCTGCTTTTTCTTTTCTCTGTCCTCTTTTTTTTTTTTTTAAGTTCTCCCGTGTTGGTTGGTAACATCCTGGGATCAGCCTCCACTGAGCTGGGCTTGCCTGGCGAATGTGGCATCACCTACTTTTTGTTATAAAAAGTAAAGATTATTGAAGCTGCTCATACTGCTCAATAATAAAGTGCCCTGTAAAACAACTAAACGAGTCGTTTTTGTCTTGTTGCAGTATAATCGACAGATAGAGGTTTTGGAAAGTAGTAGCTTTGAAAACAAGATGGCAAAATGACGGAAAAAATTGCCAACATCAGTGAATTTTATTCATCTTCAGCTCCATGTTCTCCTTACGCATCACACCCACTCATTTCAGGTTACAGTTTGCTTCTGATGGGAGGAATTAAACAGTAGAAGAGAGTAAAATTACTCATACAGGTCAAACTGTGTGTGTTCTTAAGTCTCTTTTGCATGTAACATTAACTGTATCCAAAATCAGTTTTGAAATGACAGTGAATGTTAAATACTGAGCCCCTCGGGTTTCTAATACTGTCATCATCCACCATTTAAACCATTTAGACCAGTGATACACCTTTTCCGAGCAGGTATACAAGCATTTACCCAAACGCTCACGTCACCAAAACCTCTTTTTGAGAATTCTTCACAGTAGAATCCCCCTGATTCATCCATCTTATACTATGAGTGAGTTGTTTAACCATAAGTTATTTGCTTTTCTCTTTTTTTCAACCCATTTAGTTCAAAAGTTCCAGCTGAAATGCTCAGCAAACAACCTGAAACGTTTCTATGGCTTGAATGCAGACAGGGACTTGGAAATTCAAGTTAAAACTGCACAATTTATTCCAACTGCAGCTGTCCTCGTGCAGGATCTAAATCATTTTTCTTATGTACGAGGTGCACTCAAAGAGTTCACAGACTCCTGTTGTGCAGCATGGTACGGTCATGTGTACGTAAAAGATGTCAAGTAGGACTTTAAGAGACGTGATTCCACATTTTGTCACTCTATCAACATGAAAACCTGTGATAGACAAAGTTCTGTAGATAGGCTTTTGCACTTTGTACCATGGAGCTGAGGCAGCATGTGGGCATCTTTGACCCAACATTCAGACCCAGGATCTGGCATGAATTTGTCCCTCGGTGTCATATTATTGTTGGGTTTTTACCTCACAACATAAAGAGGCGAATTTGTTGTGATCTGGTGCTATATAAATAAAATCAAACTGCACTGAGTATTTCCAATGTAGAGTTCTATAGTAGCAGCCTACTACAGAACAATCAGCTCAAATGCACGTGCAAGTGTTTGGACCATACCAGCTCACCGCCTGCTCTGCTACACAGAGCCTCGTCTCTGCGACCTTGTCTTCTTCGCCGCAACAAGTCTTGTAATTCTTTGACTGCACCTCATACTCTACGCTGTGGTATGTTTTACGG